GCTGGACTCAGGTCTCTTAGCTAATTATAGTCTTACTTTATATTTATCTAATGTTTTTCTGGAGTTTTGGTTGATGTCCTTCTCCATCAAAATGAGAATACTATAAAAATTGGAAATTTTTAAGTTTTTGGAAGTAAGCCAACTTAAAAATTCAGCAGGTGATCAAAAAATTATTTCCTTTACTGTAATATTTAATTGTAGAAACAATAGCCAACTAGAGAAGTAACCGTGGCCCTAAATACACCTGGACTGTGTTTCTCTACTAGCAATAACCTCATTTGTCTCTGACCGTCTTCCCATAGGTCCAAACTGAATACTCGCATTCAGGACAGTGAAGCGAAACCCCAGAGCTTCCAGGTAATCGCATCCACAACTAGATGTGGTTTTTTTTAATGTACTGAGACATGTGGGTGTTGGTATTTCATATTTTCAGTTGTATGTAAACTGGACAATTGTCTTAACCCTGATGGGAACACATGCTCTAATAACACGTGCTGTTGTTTATCTGGCTCATAGATTGCCATTAATATCACAGAGGCCAGACAGCTCGTGGGGGAGAACATTGACCCGAGCATAGTGATAGAGATTGGTGATGAGAAGAAGCAGACATCAGTCAAGGAAGGAACCAATGCTCCTTTTTACAATGAGGTAAAAAATAAAAATAAACAAAAAGAACCCATAAGTGAGTATTACTTTAACTGTTGGAAACAATGCTCACATCAGACGTTTACATCACATAAATAAACAGATTAGCACCCACATATTAGACAAAATGTCACTGTAAATACTGCTGATATACCACAACGTTACTTTCAAGAAGAATAAACCCATTTTAATTTTTTCACTTACATTTTGAACAGATGCAAAACTCGAAAACCTGAGAACTTTCATCTCTAAACGTTTAAGATCCACAAATGAATTACAAAAATAGGAAGGAATTGAAAATAACACGAGCAGCAAAAAGACTAAATTAATTGAATAATAGGCAGCAGAACTGAATCGAATGAAAGCATTACAATAAACTAATAAAGACATGTGGCCAGAGAGAAAGGAACAGGGATGGGGGCACTCATGCAACAACAGTATATGCACATGGTTGCGCATTTTTCATGTACACACAATTCCCCCAAACTATCACTACTGACTGGCCTTTAAGATCTTTTCAGTCAGGAAAGAATCCTGAAATTGTTTGTTTATGCTTATAGACAGTGAGGTGGAGGCCGCTCCTGAAGCTTCTCTCCTACTGGAGGGAGAAAACACTGACGATAAACCAAAACAATCTGCAGCAAGAACCAGAACAATCCCGAACACCAACAGGTACGAGTTTTCATG